GACCAGCGACAGGGAGCCGCAGCAGAGGGATGAAAGAGCCACATGCGGCTCCAGAGCCACAGGTTGGTGATCCCTGTCCTAGCAAATGGCCTTCAGAGATAGCCTCATTGCCATCAAGGCTAGAGAGCTGCTGATCCCCCAACACTTCCATGAATGGGTCCAACCCTTTTTGGAAGCCACCTGAGCATCACCATTTCTGACCGTTGCTGCAATTCTTCCACTATTTTCATTATTACCTGGGTGGGACACACACACACACTTTCCTTGTCCCTTGACTTTCCAAACTGCACCTGTTCTCCAGGGAAAAGAGGAACTCAAGTGATCCCCCCACTCTTGCAGGTTCACAGAAGTAATCCCAACTCAACACAGTTCCATCTGCCTTTGACCCCTGGATACATGGCTGCAAGGCGAAACCACTGCTGCGAATTAGTCCTGTCTTTGGTTTGTACCTGTCTGTAAAATGGGTTCCCTCTGCTTCTAGAGATATAAACGTTTCTACGACCTAGTCAGAAGCTGTACGAGACATGGCTAGCTGAGAAGAGCCAGCACAGGGCCTGTGCTGTTATTACTTGGAACTGCTTAAGTGAAAAATCCAATTATTGCCAGTTTATAATATTGGTCGACACTGGGTAAACGATGGTATGGGGAAACCAAGCCCTTGGAGCTGCAATTCTTTTATTTCTTTAAAAAAAAAAAGTAATAAAGCTTCACCCACTTGCTTGTCTGTTCCTTTCGTGATAAAAGTCAAGAAAATGAACTGATTGTCTGATACATAAACGGCAGAATATTGCTTTGATTAGCTGCTAGGCTACTATGATGATAAACCAACTTTTGGGGATAGTGGGTTGGATCAAATGTGATGTTTAGTAACAATAGTAATGTTGGGTGTGACGCTTCAACTTTTCAATTTCGGCGTTTTAATCTTGTACCTTGCATCCCCTTTGATCTCTCTGGAGTTGTTTTTGTGTGTGAAAAGAGGCCAATTTAAAACATTGAGAAAGTTTGACCATTTCTGGTTTTGCATTTGAGTTCTGTCAACTGTTTATAGCAACATCACACCTATCCTCCGCAAGCTGCACTGGTTGCCCATTGGTCTCTGAACACGATTCAAGGTGCTGGCTATCACCTTTAAAGCCCTACATGGCCTAGGACCTGGGTACCTACGAGACCGTCTCCTGCCACACACCTCCCTTAGACCTATAAGATCACACAGGATGGGCCTTCTCCGGGCGCCGCCGAGGAGTAGGGCCTTCTCTGTTGCCGCTCCAGCCATATGGAATGAGCTGCCCCCGGAGATCCGGGCCCTCCCCACTCTCATGGCCTTTCGCAAAGCCATTAAAACCTGGCTTTTCCGGCAGGCCTTCTGATTGGGTGTTTGTTGTGTTCCTTTTTATCTTCGTGTGTCCTATTGTTTTTAAGTTCCTTTAATTTCTTTTATTCTGTAAGCCACCCAGAGTCCTTCGGGATTGGGCGGCATAGAAATCAAATCAATTCAATTCAATAGCATTTAGACTTATATACCGCTTCACAGTGCTTTTACAGCCCTCTCTTAAGTGGTTTACAGAGTTACCCCAACCATCTGGGTCCTCATATTACCCGCCTCAGAAGGATGGAAGGCTGAGTCAACCTTGAGCCTGGTGGGATTTGAACTGCTGGCAGCTGGCAGTTAGCAGAAGTAGCCTGCAGTACTGCATTCTAACCACTGCGCCACCAAGGCTCTTATGTTTTTCTGATGTTCATTGGAGGAAAAACTCAGCAAATGCAGGGGTACTGGTCTTTAAAGAATGGCCAAACTCTTGGTTCTATAAACTGGGTTACGTTAATCCTATAAATGTGTGCTTTCACTCTCTGACTTTAATGGACCAAACTGTCACTTCTGCCTTCCTATCCAAGATACAAAATTGGAGGCTTCATTAGAGAAGAGGTAAAGGTTCCCCTTGCACATAAGTACTGGTCATTCCCAACTCTAGGGGGCAGTGCTCATCTCTGTTTCAAAGCTGAAGAGCCAGCGCTGTCCGAAGATGTTTCTGTGTCATGTGGCCGGCATGATTCAACGCCGAAGGCGCACGGAGCACTGTTACCTTCCCACTAAAGGTGGTCCCTATTTTTCTACTTGCATTTTACATGCTAGATTGGCGGAGCAAGTAATGGGAGCTCACTCTGTTAAGCGGCACTAGGGATTCGAACCGCCGAACTGCCGACCTTTCTGATCGACAAGCTCAGATCTTAGCCACCACATCTCTATGCAGTAGAGTGTGTGTTAAAATCCTTGGATGTAATCCTCAGGGATCTTCAAAAGTAATTTTGAAGAGACTTCCGGGGCGGGACCTTGCTGTTGGCGGCAGCTTAATTGAGCTGTCCCCAGGTTTCTAGTCGCGTTATCTGCCTAAATACCTGGTAGATACCTCATTCTTCAGGCAAAGAGGAGTGAGAGAGAGATCCAGCTGGTAAGAGCTTTCTTTGAAGTTTGCAGCTTTTTTTTCTGCTGCGAACAGAAGGGGGGGGGGCAACCAAGGCTGAATCATATCTCCGTGCCAGAAACCTCGGCTGTTTTCATTACGGCGCAAAGCAAGGAACCCCCTCTTAGGACAATTTTTGAGATATTTATCTGAAACTAACACAAGCAGAGTCCGTACCTGAGAACCTTATCTGCTTTTCCTTAAAAGTAATTTTGAAGAGATGGAGAAAATACTTGACTACACCAAAGGAGAAAGAGTTTAGCAATGTTTAGCAACGTTTTTCAGGTACTGGATATATTGTAATGATTTTGCATGATGATGTGTGCCTATTATGTAATGATGATGATGATGATGATTGATGATGGTAATTTAAACATTGCCAGAATCTGGAAAGAGGGCAAACCGTCTAATCCTTCTCTTCATTAGATTAGGCATACCCAGTTTCTGCAACCATTCATCATATGATTTAGTCTCCAGGCTCCTCCTCCATCAATTTAGTGGTTCTTCTCTGCACTCTTTCTAAAGTCTACTTATTTTTTTTATCATGGTGATCAGAATTGGACACACTATTAACAGATTAACAGTGTTGGATGGGACCTTGTAGGTCATCTAATCCAACCCCCACTCCCAGCCTAAGCAGGAGACACTACACCATTACTGACAGATGGCAGTCCAGTCTCACCAAGTATGCTCTCACCAGTGCTGTGTAAAGCGGTATTTCGTACTGTGATGTGAAGTACTGCAGTGGATCTTAATCCATTCAGTGGTCTGCAGACCCATGGAGGGGTGGGGGGCAATGTCTTCACTGAGATTTGTGAAGGTATTGTGGCCCGTCAGCAGAGTCAGACAGTGAGGAGATTGGGGAGGAACATGAGCCAGTCCTGGAGTCTGGGGAAGGCTCTGAAGAGGGCTCTGTGTCGGAGGCAGAGATATGGCTAGGGCTGTCTGACGGTTATCAGCCGCCTTCGGAGTCAGTGAGGCAGAAGAACAGCTGGAGCCTGTTCCCATCGTGCGCATGCGCAGAGTTGCCAGACAAAGGGAACAGCTAAAGAACAAGGGTCGACTTGGGAGTAAGGCGACAGGTGGACGATGTATGACTCCTCCAGAGGAAATAAAAGAGGAGCGAAAGGGGAGTGGAGTTTGCAGGAGACAATTAACTCTCTCTGAAAGATATCGGCCTGGCCACTTTCCAAGCCTGATAAAAGTCGGTAATTGTGAACTATTTTGAAAAACTCGGAAAGACTATGCTGGAGAGGAATTCGTCATAAATTAAATAAAGGGTTTATCGGGATGACGACTCGGCTTCATGTTGCTGGGGAAGCCTAGGTCAGAAGAGCAACCTTGAAAAAATGTTATGATTTAAGGTGTTTCGTGGCCATAGTCACGATATATTTAAAGGGGTCCATGGTGAAAAAAAAGCTTGAGAACCATTGAAGTACTGTGTAAAGCAGGGGTCACCAACCTTTCGGATCTCAGGGACCACTAAATCCATAATTTTACATCCTGCAGACTACTAATAAGATCTGCCTAATGACTGGCTGGATGAGCGTGGAAATGGTCATGTGACTAGATGGGCGTGGCCAACTCGATGTCACATCAAGGGGCGCCTTGCTAACCTCTTCCTAACTCCTCACCTGCCCCGCCTGGGCTCCTTAGGGCCCCAACAGGAAGCAGTTGCTGGAGCTAAGCAGCCACCGTGAAAAAGAGTTAGCAAAACAGCGGGCTCAGTTCAAATTGGATTTGACCGAGAAGGAGGCTCAGCAGAAGCACCTCACTGAGGACTACGAGCATAGGCTGTCCAAACAGAGGGAAGACCTGTGGGAGGCAAGGCCAGGTACCGGCACCGATTTAGTGCAATATAAAAAATGCAAATAATTTTTCTGCAGACCACCAAAATTTTCTCGCGGACCACCAGTTGGTGACCGCTGGTGGAAAGGACAGTAATAACCAGCCATGGTGTTTCCTTAAAGATGTGTTCGATTTTCTGAGAAGATACAGAGCAAGAGGAGAGGCCCTCCTTTGGGAATTTTGCAGAAACTTTACAAAAGCTTTTATGCCTTTTATAACAGGTGGCTGGTAACATCAACTTGCATGTGGAATGGCATCATGGAAAAAAAAACCCAACCCACTGAGCTCATTTTATTTTTATTTTCTTCCTTTTCAGGATAAAGAGCTAAACACTTAGGTGTCTCCTAGAGTGGGTCCTCGTTTCTTTAAAAAAGAAATTCAAAAAAAAAGGCTCCCAAATCAAGGTTCTTTCCTCTCCCGAGTCAAAAAAAATATGCCATAATGTAAACAAAATCTACTTATTCTGTAAAAAGTATCATTGTTTTTTTTTTTTTAAGGTCTTTTGATTTCTTGAGAGGGATAATCGGTGAAAGGTAGATCGTCTTCAGGAGCTCCCTTCTGAGGGTAGACAACAAAACAGATCTTCTGGCCCCAGTAGGTTAAAGATTCTGGAAAAAAAGATCAAAGAATTGGGTGATCATACTTGTCTTGAGACTAAACCGGGCATGATTAACTGGGAAGGCATTTGAACTTAACGGAAGAATAAGAGCATGACAGTTGGGAGGGACCTTGGAGGTCTTCTAGTCCCGTGGCACGACAAAACCGCGCTCGACTAAAGCACGCCCAATTAAACCGCGTCGCTGACGTCATCAACAGGGCGACAACAGCGAGCGCGGAGAAAGAAGGGCGCTTTAAATAGCACTT